CAGATTGAACGAGAATGTGTTGACGCTATGTCGGATGCACACAAACAGTTGGACTCGTGTGTACTTCGTGGTGAGCTTTCAGACTCTCAACACCGTATTTCAGTTCTCCAGAATTTTCACCGGTCTCAATAACCCCAGTGTGGAGGTCATTTACGATTCCAAGAATATATATCACGGGAGGAGACGATTTGGCGCAACAACTTTGGTCAATAACGAAGTGTTATTATTGTATTATTACTGAGTTATCGAACAGAATTGTATCATCCTCAGAGACTATTTTGCGGAAACAGGTTTTTGCAATTATATGTCCAAGTTGCTGTACAAATAATAGTATGATGATAAGCTTTAGTTCTTTCGCATCGAACCACACTCGTGATCAGGTCAAAGCAAAAGCATGCTTTACACACGCATGATAGGCGAATAGTAATCCGAAACGCATACGGCACTGTCAAGTGCAATGAATAGCAAATATCAAAAAGCAGAGATGTATAAAATAGATTGTGAAAACGGTGGAGCTAATGACATTGGATTAAGTTCCCGAGTAGTGCTTACTTGAATAATCAATCTAAGAACGTGAGAAACAAGGAACAATCGACGTATCGTGTGCAAACATGAAGGCTTTGGTGCATTTTCGTCTGGTATAGAATGCTGATCCACGTCCAGGCAATGCTGTATGGAGCAAAGTGAGTGGCGTTATTGTGTGTCCTAAACGCTAATTTTTACGGGAAGCAACGTCATATGACAAAATCAAATGTCTACAAAATGCGGCTTTGAAATGCCTCAAGATCTGGCCATGGGTTTGAGCGACCTGTATGTGATACGACGACGACGACAACAACAAACTGACAAGTGGATAGAGGTTAAATATTACTCGTTCCAACGGATCATTGGCCGTTGGGATAAGTGTTATTCGCTGAGACTTGGTGACCCAGTGATAGAGGCTTTTGCGATATTCTAACATTCCGAGTCCAAGTCGCGATTTTGCTATCACTATCTGATGAGTGCGAAGAAGCCCGAAACCATCGGGGAGTGCAACGCTGTGATGAGCAAACAGCATCTAAACAAAGCGTCGCACACAAACTGTACCACTAAAATACATCAGGCTAGCTCATTTGTGATTTGCATTTCGATGGGATAATCGGAGAATTTTAGCTTAGATTGAGATGGATGAGTTGTGGTCTTTCGAATCTGTACGGAACAATGGAATACGAGGATGCCAAAAGCAACTCAAAGATATCCAGATGGTCATAGAAGAAATTCGCACAGGCTAGTGATGTAAACAGAACTCGGCCATACAAGCTTCTGATTTGGTCTGAATTTGAGGGACACTCACCTATAGCATTTTCTCTAGTGTAGCTGTCAATTTCCCACTACAACAGCTCAGTGCTTTCCCTAGCTCCGGATCCTGCAAAGTTGTCCAGTACAGCATATACGGAAAATAGTTGATTGCTACATCTGCAAGGATTCGGTGTCGGCACTCCGCGACTGCTTCCACCAACTAACGGTAGTGAGAATACGAAGGACCGAGAGCAAGGGTTCGTTTACATAGGGAAACCATTTCGTTATATAGCGTGACGCATAAGTGTGAAAGCCAAGCAGATTATGGAAGGCGTTCAGACAAGTAAAGCCAATAAAAACAGAACAAATGAGGAGCCAATCAGGTGCACACATAGAACGGAAAGTGAGGGAGGTCGGCGTCAGAGTAGGGCCGCGATCTGAACGAAAAATTAACGACTCCAAATAGCCAATAGGGAGAGCGAAATGATACGTTAAAACAAGCATCAGTGAACCACCGGATCAAAACGAAAGTCTGCAGTCATGAACGGTTATACAAGCATATCTATCTTCATTACTCCTCTAACAACCTGGTAAACCGAGTGAACATAATTAGTCACAGTGAAACCACCTTCTGGATGACGAAGGCGTTCTTCGCTGTGGAGCTCAGAACACCCATCTTCGCATGGCGTACAATTAAGCTAATCGGAGTGAAATGTCTGAAAATTTAAATGCTCACTAATCGGCACCTAACCCAGATGTAATCAGTTTGTCCCTTGCGAAAAACCACATTAAAAACTTCGATACTTTCCCGCTTACATGACTGGTCAGTTAACTTCCGAGTTCAGACATTCGCGACTACATAATAACAGAGGCGCCCGATCAGAACCTTAGAGCAAGCGTCTTGGAACGTAATAGGATATCCGAAAATAGACACGATCACATCCTTCATGTGTTGAAAATAAGGGACTCATCTAGTTCAGAATCCTCAATACACATGGCTCCTTAGTCAGGTGGTGATTCACGATCCATCTGAATTTCGACAACCTTAGTGCGAATATGTTCCTAACAATGTCAGAACGATTCTGGAGACCTTAGAGAAGTTGAAGGAAATAACTGACAAAAAGTACCAAGATTTCCTCAAAGGATTAGTAAACTGGGTGAGCTAGGAAACCAAGAAAACATTTATGGAAACAACAGACTTGATTCGGTCGATGGTCCGCTTCACAACTCAATTTCCGGCGAGGAATACATGTTCGATTCTCATAAAAGAGAGATTTCAAAGAGCTGACACCATGACAATCTTCGTACACGACGATGGTAGTTATACTGACATTTCCATTATGGTTTAGCGAGGTAACGCGTAGCTGCCACATGAGGTGCAAGCATAGGAAATTACTCTTTGGTCCAGTACAGTTAGACGATGATGCGATGGTTAGCATGAATTACGCTAATCAGACAAGGTAGAGAAGAATGATAAGCCCGAATCCGTGAGAAAAGAGGAACATAAAAATGTTGGAACTGAAGGTAACATACAATAAGCCAGAGATCGGTAAAAAATATCACTGGTCTCACAAGTGCCCCATGTCGGAAAAGGCATCAAGAAACGCTATGTTCCCGATGAAAGACGGCATTGACCGGCCCTACCTCGGCCAAAGCCATGCTTTTCGGTCCCTATTGGAATGCGTACTTTTCAGGTTAGTGTGTGAATCATTACCATGGCTGGAAAAGAAGCTAAACTAAATTCCATACGTTTTCGCGTCTTCAATTGTCTAGTGGATTGTACCCAACTTCCGACAACCGTTTATCATGTCCCTGTCAATATCTTGCCGAAGGTTTGCATCGACAATCGAAAGAGAGAATTATGCCCAGCTCAGCTGGCACATGCTGTTTGGGACGGAACCCGACCAAACATTGTTATAGCGATAATATCGCCAAAAATACCGGTTGTTACCACACCTAACTCGTGTGATACAGCATTTCGAGGATGCTGGATTCTATAGTCATTGGAAGAGTGGACAGAATGTTCTATGCTGAGCGCCGCAAAAGATCGAATTAGAAAGAGTCGGCGGTCTCGTTTAGATACTCGAGTGACAAGTTTATTTAGGATATGTTCATTGAACATTATCAGCATCGACGCAGTCTGGACATAGTTGACGCCACTTTATGGAGACTGCTCTCGTGTCATATCATGGGAATTCATGTCGCCCTTGTTGGAAACTGAAACGGAAGAATCAGTACACATAGATTCGCTGAAACCAGCTTACGTTCGACGAACAAATGAAAATGTTGACACCGTATAAGAAACTTTACGTGATCTAGCAAAAAGATGACGGACCGAGAATTCAAGGTAGTCCTCCGAGGCAAGTACGCTCAATATGCACCGTTTTTAAATTTCCTCTAAACTCGTAAAAGCCATCCCCTAAGTCACTTTGTCTAGCGTTTCGCACCACTACACAAAGAAAGACGTTGCTGCTTTTCTCCTCCCTCTTTCCGATAATCATTATCATCATTGGACCTACAGTTCAGAATGAATATTCGATCCTAAATTACTAGCATGCGCACCCAAGAGGCGACAGGCACATTGAGGTGGTAAACTTGAATCGCATATTTGATTTTTAATCTCTAGGACTCATTGGCCTCTTTTGTATCACCTAAATTGTAGTTAACCACAAGAGCTGGTCCGCTAAATAGGCTTGTCAGACTGATGTAAACGGGCGTGTGGATGGCGAAGCATCACAACCGGATTGGGCGTCAATTCAGTTACCTTATCCAGTGAGATGGGCAAGAGGCTGGGCACAGGGACTTCTCCGACTGTTAAAACCAGCACTAACTGCGTTAGTGGCCCTTAGAAGTCACAGATGATTGGGTGGGGCAACCTTTACTTCGTGAATCAGTGCATCCCCAAAGTACGGTTTATCAACGAACAGGCATGAACTGGGAATTGAAGCCATGCGGTTGACGGTGAACTCGTCCCATTTCCGGAGTGAAGACGTATTCCGTGATGCACTCCCCAATAATGCACCTACGACTCGTTTTATCTTTGTTTGGACTCTTCGGATAAAGAGAGCTGAAGCAGCGTGGAAATAAGAATGTAATTACTGCTGTTTTAATTACCAAATGAACCCTGGGGAGCAAAAACGGCTAAGAAATCAGTTGGGCTTTGGCAGTCACGTTGCATCAGTAGGAAGCAAGCAACTGAGGGCGTAAAAGTGCCGGTCGGAGAAATGGCGTCCTTGCGTTAATTCGTTGGTTTGTAGATGGAAGACTAGAGTATTACTTGTGCTAAATCACCAATTCCGTTGGAGAGTATGAAAACACCACGCCACAAATCATGATGCTCACTGAGGCGAGGTCTGCCGACTAAATGATCAGAAGGCACCGGAGGAACTGAATTCCTTTCATTCATTTGAGGTCCTAGTGGTCGAATTGACTGAAATTCACTTCAACGCGAATCACAGTCCTGATTAAGATTGCGTGTCGCAATACATGTACAAAATAAGTGCTTAAGCACGATCCCTCCAATGAACCCCTTTAGGCTGCCTGCAAGCAATTTGACGGACTAAACGTGTCTAACGAGGCTAAACTGAGGCGGGAGACAATATCGATCTACGAGGATAGAGAGAAAACAAGTGATGGAAGTAAGAAGTGAAGCGAAGTAGAAGCAGCCAGCAAAGCAAGCAAGATCGTCTTGAGTTTCTAGCGTAACGGAAGAAGACGTCTGTAAGACCGATCACATACCAGCGTTGGTTCATAAGAGCAGTCAATAAGGTAGCTCGCAAGATATGCTGTGTACAAAGTACTAAAGTCAGCAAATAGATCGAAGCAATCATATATTAAGAAAGAGAGTGCAGTGAGAAGTTTTGTTTAAAAAAGCAAAGAAAAAGGTAGCATGATTAACCTTGAGAAGACGGTTAATGAGTAGAATGGAGACCAGAGAGAGAAATTCACGGGTGAAAAACATCGTGGCAGGTAAGTATCCAGCACGTGAATACAGGTAGTTAAATGACAAAAATCCATAAACGGAACCATAGATGAATGTGCAGGTGACAGGCGGCGTGTTAAAAGGGACGCAAAAGGTCATATTACGTCGAGATTCGGTGGTGTTGGGGAGTACATTGATCGACGGAGGGGATTCGCGTAAGCAAGAAAGATTGAAAAGAACTCAAAAAACATTCCAAAGGAAAAATGTAAAAGAAAAATGCCAAGAATGATGAAGCTAGAGAAGGATTTGAAGACAACGACAGGTTATGTGCTGAAGGAAAACTGAGTTCACAAGAAAGGGAAGTAAAATATAAGAGAAAAGTGCCACTTTGTTTTAAATTGTTCAATTGGTCTAGGAAGTGCGAAGTACAGCTTGTTTCAGTGGCGCATTTTTGTCGTATCTATCGGAGAGCAAAAGCAAAACTCGAAGGGGTTGAAGTGAAGCTTAATAAGAGTATGAGAACGTAGCACGGGGCGCAAGTGTGAAGTATGCAGAAAATAGAAAAATACGAGTGTATCATCGGCCTAGAGTACAGTTGATAGAAGTTAAATGGCAATGAGTCTGTAAAGCGAATATAAGCTGATCCAAGCGATCGAAAAGGAGCTCGTTCTGATTGAATCAAACTGCGAAGGTGTGAACGGACAATAGAGCGGTTGAAATGCACTTGATGTGCACACAAATATATCACATGTAGGTTGATGAAAGCAACGCCTCGAATAGGCAAAAAGGGAAACGAAAAAGCCAACGGAACAAGTGATGACTTGGAAGAGGTAATACATGTCAGCTGGATCACCGTACAGTGCGCGCATGTGGCCATAGAGAAGGTAACGGAAGTGTAACATGATGATGTGCGTGCTTGAGCACATGGGCAAAATGCATGAGCATGATCGTTCTCAGACTTGCAGATGTAAAGGTGGCGGTGACCTAACCATGTTGGTGTGACAACCACAGTGCGAATGGGACTGTGTATAGGGGACTAGACTTAGGGATTGGAAAAAGAGCGGGGGAGCGGATTGGCTCACAATCCGAAGGAATGCTTACGACACAAACAGGACCACCCACAAGGGATTGGCAACGGCGAAAGACGATCGGTGGGGTGTCTATTGTGAGCGCAGAGAGAGAAGGAGAATGGAAGAGGAGAAAAACCGACCCTGACTCGGGTGGTCTCTTGCAGCATTCACTGGACAAGGCTGTCGGTATAACTAGACAGCAGGTATACATTTGAGTTAGACATTGGGTCATCCGCCGGCCGGGTTTCCACGACGATTTTGCTGAAATAAAAAGGGTAATTAATGAATGGGAGTCATTGAACCGTAGTGCAAGGTCACAAAGATAAGCTCTTTAGGTGTTGCCCCTCCCCAGTGCTTACACCCCTAAGCCGTTCGTCTTGGTCTGAACTTTGGATAGAGATAACTGAAATCGAGAATCGGGCAAGGGATACCGTGATTTTCCACTGGATGCAACGGAGCCCCCTAGTCAAGGTGGTCACGGGGTCGTCGTCACAACTCAAGTGAGTACCAGGCACTACTAACTGATAACTGGTGAAGAAGGAAATAAAGCGATAAGGATAACTTAATCTGCTCAGAGTTCGAGACATCTCCCAGTGAAGGAATATAGGACAATCGGAGCTGCTTACCGCATTTCATAGTGACAGTGCAGAAGTGAGAGAAGGGCCTAATGTACCACGAAAGCAAACCTTACTTAAAAATGTTATACAGGAGAGGCTGTGAGGTGTAGCAGGTGTCGGAATGCAGCGAATGAATACTGTATTATAGAGCAAGTAGAAGTGAATTCTGTACAACTCTTTCGAAATATGGTGAAAAACGTTAAAAAAGTTGTTAACCGTGAATATCGTCGTCGTTCTCATGTAACAGTTAAAATACCTGACTCAAGATATTTCAGAACTCACAAATGTGATATGTCATCCTAAGTGTGCAATAGTTCTCTGAATCGAATAGTGGTGAAATATAAATTTAACCACGTTTTGAACTGCTGCACAGATGTTGCCTCCATCACATGTTCAGGTAAACTGTTCCAAATGTTTATCACTCTCCGTTCGAAGCACAGTGGGTGGGGAACACGCTTCACATCCGGTACGACAAGTTGGTATCTGTGTGCGCGTGTGCTGCATGGCCCTCGTAAGTGTACCATTGGCCTCAGCATGGGGTAATCACCGAGATGGAGAATACGGTAGGTCATAATTAGGTTGACTTCCACTCGACGGTAGGACAAGGTGTAGAGTCCTAGTTTCTCGCACCGGTACTCATACCCCAAGCCACGTAAACTCGGGATGACCCTGGTAGCAACGTGTTGGACCCGCTCCATCGTTTGTGCCTCGCCTCGGGTAATCAGAAAGTAGGCGGGCGAACCGTACTCTAGCATTGGTGAGTAGCAATCTCTTCAGACCATGTGCCGAAGCTATGTTTGAGCGCCCAAAGCATGCGCAGTCTGTTACGATATAGCTTGTTTGTCTTGTCTACGGACTTTAAATCATAGCGCGAAAGTACACCTAGGTCATTCACGAGGGCTGTGGGATATAGCAGTTGGCCGTCAGCACCCTTCCCCAGGCTCATAAATACAGACTGGGTTGAGTTGACCGTGAGATGAACTGATGCAGACCACGTAGATAGGCGGTTGAGGTCTTGCTGAAGTAGGCCACAGTCATCGGGAGCGTCAATTTCTCTCCAAATCTTCATGTCGTCTGCAAACAAGGCACACGGCGACCGGAGAAGCTGCAGTAGATCGTTCATGTGGATCAGAAACAGAGTGGGCCCCAGCACAGTGTCTTGACGCACGCCACTTGTAGAGGGGTACCAGTCACTTAGATGGTCGTCGATCTGTACCCTCCACTTTCGTCCAACAAGAAAGTCGCGGATCCACCGGTGCAGTGAGCCACCGACACCACACATTCTGAGTTTGTGAAGGAGAACCTCATGGCTGACCGTGACGAACGCTTTACTGAAATCGATGAATATCACGTCGACGGACTCCCCCTTGCTTATTGCCTTCAACCACTCATGCCTCGTCACAAGCAGGTTCGTAAAGCATGAGCGGCCTTGCATAAAACCGTGCTGTGTGTGCGTCAGGAGCTCGTTTGACTGTACCAACTGCAGCAATCCCTTCTTCACGATTTTCTCAGCAACCTTTGGTGTTAGACAAATTGGCCTGTGGTTGTCTACTTTGCTAGGGTCACCGCCTTTCGGAATAGGTTCCATCACCCAACATTTCCAGTCAACCGGCAACGAACCTTCGCACAGCGACCTGTTGAAAAGGTCAGTCACGACAGGATAGAGGATGGTCGAAAGTGACTTAAGAACTAGTGGATGAAGTCCACCAGGTCCGGCAGGCGAGCAGTTGACATACCTCTTCAACGTCGCAATGCAGACTATAGAGTTCGGTAAAAGCGGTACACGTCAAAATCGTAACAGACACCTAGTCATTTGCAAATACAGAAGCGAAGTGCGCCGCCAACGTGGACGCACGCTCAATGCTGGGCCATCCAGCACTGGCACAACACCAGCCGGCTTCAGGGGTCGCTTCACGTATGCAAAGATCCTCTTTGGGGCAGTCTTCGCGGCTACTGCGATCTGCTCTCCGAAATGTCGGCGCTTATTCCTTTTTGCACTGTTGCAGAGGTTCCGCTGACTTTTATACCCTTCGTAGTCATTGGCAGAGCCAGAGAGGAGGAATTTGTCCCACAGTCTGCGCCGCCTCCCAGCATTCAAATACCTTGTGAAACCAATGAGGCTTAATCGGTCCAACCTTCCGACATTTCAATGGCATAAATTGGGATGATGTCAATCTCTCTTTTATAAATATCCAACAGTCTTCCACAGATGCAGCTTGTGACAGAGACCACTCCAGTTAGCTCGCGGCTCGAGCTAGACCATCGAAGTCCGTTTCCTAGTAGTTGTAAGCTGGTTCCAGCGGACGTGAACACGACAAAGGTAATTCTATATTGGCTGTGAGCACTGAATGGTCGCTTGTAGCCAGAAGCTCCAGGATCCTAACGTAAAGCACTCGTTGTTCGTAGCTCGTTAACATCAGGTCGAGACATGGCGGGGTTGAGCGTGGTGTTATGCGTGTTGGCTGGCATATGTGTTGCGATGCACCAGTTTCAAGCACCAAATCCACGAACTTTGCTTCAACTTCACTATGTCCAGGCATCAAATGCACATCAGGCCATCGTGTTCGAGGACAGTTAAAATCGCCCATACGTAGAAAGTGTGGACGACTCAGGTAAGTTCGAAGAATGGGCAGCCAATCCAAACAACGACTCAGGGGGCAGCGACAAACTGCACCCGCAAGTAGTTCTCCGCGCCTGAGGCGGATGGAGCACCACAGTAGCTCACACAAACCATCGTCACTTCGGTAAGTGCTCACAAGTCTCCCACGCAGGGAAGGCCGGATGTAAAGTAAGACACCACCGTGGGCATTCTTTAGTCTATCGCATCGGAAGCACGAGTAACCGCTGAGCTCAAGTTCTTGGGTGTATAACTTTGCATGCAGTCATGCCTCTGCGAGTCCCACTACGTCTGGCCGCTCAGACGCAACGAAACAACAAAGCTCATCGCGCTTGTTCATAACACTGCCAACGTTGGTGAAGGCTATTCGTAGGCCGCAGCAGGAGCCGCCGGGCGTGCTTGAAGTGTGAGCAGCCTGTTTATCTTGATTCGCAGATTGTTGGAAACCACCCGAAAATTTACGATACGAAGATTTATTTCCCCCTCACCAGTGCGTCTTTTCAACCCAATGGTGGCAGACTTGAGCTGCTCCCTGTCTACTGGGTCCAGGTCAGGACGAACATGGATCTTCAAACCTTTCAGCCTACTTAGGCGGGACATGATCAGTCTTGGACTGGCTTCGTCCACAAAAGTGATTCTCATAGGACGATTTTGTTGATCATCTTGCTTTCCAAGACGGGTAATTTGCCTCACTTTTACTTAGTTCTCAGCAGAGCCGAGGAGTCTGTCAATTAGACTCCGTAAAAACCCGACATCGTGATCGTAGCGCACTTGGGGTGATAGATCACTGGGCTCCGGCGCATGGGAGATCACGAGGTTATAACGCCTCTGGTTGGAGGAGGTTGACCGTGCAGGACGAAGTATACTACCAGCCCCACGTGGTTTGACTAACTGTTGACTTACAGATGTTAAACGTCCAATATCCCTTCGTAATTTCGTTCTTTCCACTGGTCTTCAGCGCTCGGACTTTCACCTGCTGGGACATCAATATCCGTTGGACAAAACAAAGGTAAACAATTTATGTCAGGTGAAACTGGGCTTCTCACAATTGCTGGACTTCATGTCGGTGAGTTTGCACGGGTAGAGAAGACTGAGCTGAAACCTGAAAGCTCTTCGGGCTAGGTTGTTAAGCCAAACACACGGAGCTGCTCGCAACGAAATGATGAAGCCTACACATCGGATTTACTCTTCCTGACTGTGTCTTGTTTCGGCAATTTTCACATTAAAATTGAACGAAGTCGTGTTGAATTTCACGAAGACGATGAAAATGCTCAGCTGATAATCCTGCACATGAAACGTGGTATAACTTGGTACAAAATACACGTGAGGGCATTTGCACGGTATCCGACTATCTTGGAACAAGTACCACAGGATGACTGCTTCGACATTGTGAATAATCCGAAAGGTTGAATGGGATTAGTCTCTCGAACCATTCACGTGTCTAAAGTATGGTGAATAAACTAAGGACCCTCATGCACAGTCGTCGTCATGTGAGCACTCAGTGGGGTGACAGGCTGATAAGTGTTGGACAACACTGTGTTAACACCCCGGACACAGCCAAGGGAATTGGGATTGAGATCGGTGCTTTGTATATTTGCATGTGTGCGGCACATGAGCAAATACCTGCCGCAGTGCCGCCATGTGCCAGATTACAATTCGACCAAGAGCGTTATGCACTTCCGAAACCGGTCATGACCGGATGACGAAAGTGGTCAGCAGCGGTAAACAATCAGCACGAAACGGACGTGTGCCGCAGATAGTGAGGAAGCCGAAGAACTATGTGGTTATGTTAGCATGTGCAACAATAAATCACAGTCTGTTGCATATCGCGAGTGGATAACCCACTCACGTATTGTGAGCTGAAGTTTGATGTGAGCATTGGGGACAGCGTATCGGAAGTGGGAAATGAAAGGAAAAGATTTAAGTAAAATGTAAAGGTGAGAGAATCCCATTTACCGATCGCAGCCGAGTAACCGATAGATGTGCCTCGCGTCATGGATATCTTGTGTGAGCTGAAAAATCAAAGTAGAACTGAGTCAGACAATCAACAAGAAAGAGGGAGAAATACAAAGGTAGACAAGTAGGACACATTTTTGCACTAGTGACACGTTGCCAATGGAGCAGGAGAACCGAGAACAGTCGAACCACACAAAAAACATGAGTGAAGTATTGGTGTCAATAACGTGCGAACAACGTCAACCGAGGGTACAAGGGAGTATAGCATGCATGCATCACCGGGGACAAAGGAAACGCGCACGGTTCACCATAACGCTGCCACGGCGTAGTGAACCAAGTAAGTCAAAGTAGCGAGGAGACGAGTGAATGCGGAGCGCTCCATATGGATGAAGTACTGGTAGAAAGCGCCGCAATCTACGTTCCATAGAGACCAAACAAGGAGTTTGGACCCGCGAGACAAATGGAAGATGGTGATAATGGCCAAAGCGGTCAGCCTTGGAGCAAGCACTACAACTTTGCTGCTCATAATAGCTCTACCGAAGCGCCGATTCCGTTGTAAGTGTTATAGACGAATCCGTTCCCAGCCCGACAGACAAATGTGCTTCAAATACTATAAGACACTAGTTTAAATGCCTGGCTCATGTCGAGGTCGACTTGAGGCACGACGATCAGTGAGACGCAGTGATTAGAAAGGGAAGCGTAAACAAACATGATGGTTTAAAGTAACAGTCTGAAAGGGGGTTCATGCGGTCAGCACTGTGACGAACAAATGCGTGGAAGTCACAATAACCTAGAGTATGCTGGAAGCAGTCGAAAACGCAACGGGAAATAGCTACTGGTGCACTGAAGATACATTCAGTGTTATATGGAATGTGTGCACAGAATAAGCGCAAACTACTAGCAACCTGTTCAGGCGGAATGCACAACGGTTGTTATCAAGCAATTATTCCCCGAATACTTGACAATCTCATCTGACGGTTTAAATTCTCGTTCGCTGCTTTTCCATCATTAATAGTGTGAGTATTGTTCTGGCAAGGTAACTGAATCCACCGTGTCTCGTTACACGGCGGATCAAAGTTGATGAACCGAACTGAGCTGCTCGCAAATACCTCAGCCAAAGCACTTGTGCTGATGATGAGCGGTTGGAACATGACAGAAAGATGAGTGGCATCCGGCGCTGTCAACAAAACACACATCTGACAAAATGTGAAGGGACTGTCAGTTGCGTGTTTCATAGAACCACGTGCAACACAACAGTAGGTATCAGATAGGCCAATATAGACATACAGAAAAACGCAGACACGAACAGCGATTTTGTGCAACCTCCCAGATATAGAGGTGGTGAAGATCGTTATGTTAAACACAGGTCCGGGTTAGAGTAATTAAGAAAGGAGCACCAAAAGCTTTCGGATTAGGTAAGATAGACCTCACGGAAAATGAAAAGTTCACACGTCAAAGCGTTTAACGAGCCATTGGCCTTTCCTTTATGAGGTATAACCAACTGTTTAATCTAGTCTGCCTTCGGGAACTAGAGAAAGTGATGCATGAGGTCCGAAAGCCTACACAATAGAAGGTACCCGTTGGGAATGCTTAAGACGGCAATCCGCATGGTCGCGAACAAGTAACGTATTCTAAAGAACAAAATAATAACACGAATACCGAGGGAGCAGTATCACGTTTCCTAGTCCTCGGATAGATGGGGGAGAAGAAAAGTACCATAAAAAACGAGTAACTCTCCGGAAAGGTGACAAGCCGAGACGGAAGGTGTAACACACGTGTTGGAGAGGCAAAACGGTAAAATGCTGGGATGCACTTTGGCGGCGCAAAGCAAGGGCTTGTTAGGACTGCGAACAAGTCGGCTAACTCAGTGAAGTCTCGCCCGCGTTGGTGGTCGAACCAAATACCCAGTCATACGTGTAGGCGTCGTGTGAGCTGTGACATAGAAATATACTTTTTGAGGGTCTAACTACAAAGAAGATCGAAAACACCAAGCTCTGCTGAGTCAACGTGTCTGCCAGAATGCCAAAGCAGCAGACATCAAACGGACTTGGCATACGGGGGAAAAAGCGTGAAGGCAAAATTTCAATGTGACAGCATATGTTTGACTTATATGAGTACGAATAATAAAAAATCCTCTCTGATTATCCAAGTTGTCTCTTCTGATTTTCCCCGGCTGAGTTGGACGCGGCACTAGGCAGTGAGTGAAAAAAAGGAGCGCTTACGACAACACGGCCGGACTGGGGACCCGAAGAAGAGACCTATCCTTAGTAATAGCGCATTTAATTATCCAAACGAAACACAAACACAAGATCATACACCCCGAATTCCCCACACAGTTAGATCGAGCACGTGAGGCAAGCGTTAGATTGGAGGAAGTTGGGTACAGAAAACCACGCGGCTGAACGCAGCGCCAATGCAATTCCGGCAAAACGCGTGGCTTCCCATAACAAATGGGTACTCCAGGAGAGAAGTGAAAAATAATCGGACAAGATTTGATCATGTCTAACAAGCAAAAAGCATACAAGAGCGCCAAAAAGCAACAGGTCATGAAACCGAAATGAGCGAGATAAACTCAGTTCAGTCGACCAAACAGGAGTCCTGCGTCGAGATGTGGCACAACAAAAATAACTTGAACGCACGCCGCAAAATAACAGCTATGTTAATGATAACTAAAAATAATGTTGGGACAGCGAATTTGTCACATAGACGAGTTAATGCAGGAAATAAGGGTGCGAATACGAGCTTATTACAAACCACTGACTACTTCAAAGCTTATAAAGTGTATAACAAATGATACCGACAAGTTAGGGAGACGATAAACGTTAAACTAATTCAATCTTATAGATAGAAATTGGTCAGTCGCAACGAGACTGGACCTTAACGTGGTGCGACGATTTGCGTACCTCATTGACCCATTGAGCTATACTGGGTGATGCCTCAGGCAACCTTGAGTGATACTCCTACCAGGTTAGTCAATGGTGAGAGGTCAGACAAACTCAGTCTCCTGGTCCTCCAGGTTGGGGGTTTGAAATGGGATGGCGTCCATTTCTGTAAAACTAAATCACTACCACCCCGCTGCCTTGCGGACAGGCTTTTGAGCCAAAGGCTTTGGATGAGGACCCTAATCGTTCTCCTGTCTAGGTCTGGGCGCCCTGGCAGTATCTCAGCCCACATACAACCATGACATCTTCTTCAAACATAAACTTCATCCTGCATCGGCCGTCGCGCAGATTATCAAGGGTCGCCTTATCTGCTGCATACAGCAGGGCGGACAATCGGAAATATACTACTGCTGGAGCCTCCCTTCTTTCTTTTGCACCTTTTTCTCTTACTCCCATCCCGACCCCATTACTAACCTTCCTTTTACAATTCCCAGCTGAATTGACAGCAACCGAAGTGCCACTGGAGTAGAACCATCTGCAGCCACCACCCCACCGCACCTATCGGCAAAAGTTCCTTATAAGGCCACGCTATCCCGTTTCCATGGCGACATTCAACGTTCGCACTCTAAGACAAACAGGTCAGCAGGCTGCACTCGCACGCACCTTGGACACACTGGGTATTGATGTGTGTTGTGTGTCCGAAACTAGGATTAATGACCCTAACGGGGTTATTGAATTAACTGCACCCGGCTTATCCTCTCGTTATTGGTTGCACGCATCCGGAGACGCCGATGCAGCACTCACGGGTCAAGCTGGTGTAGGTATCATTCTAAGCTCCAAGGCTGAGTCATCGTTGGTTGATTGGATTCCGGTGAACAGCCGTTTATGTGCAGCCCGTTTGACGACATCAGCTAAGGTTGATTCACGAAGTAGTAAAAAAACGCTGTTTGTTTGTGATTTCCGCTTATGCTCCCAACGACTGCAGTTCTAATGCAGTCAAGGACACTTTCTATCACGAACTGAACGCCCTACTACGCAGTGCTACTATTTCAGATATTATAGTACTTGCAGGGGATATGAACGCACAAGTAGGGCGACTGAGCTATTCAGAAGCTCAGCTGGGTGGTAATTGTGGGCATGACTCCGAACGGACTGACACTGGTGAGCGTCTGCTGCAGCTGTGTGTGGAGCACCAGTTGTTTCTTAGAAGCACTGTTTTTAGACACAGTGGGTGCCGAAGTGCCACTTGGCGTCCTCCTGTAGCTGGCCAGCGATGGGCCCAAATTGACCACATAGCCATAAGTTACAGATGCCGTGGTTCCATCCTGGATTGCCGCTCGTACCTTGATACCTATGTCGACTCTGATCATGCCTTGGTACGCTGTCGTTTCTCCATGAACTTTACCTGGAAGGTGCACAAAGCGTCTCCCCCGATTGGCAACTGAGAAATTGTCCAAGCCCTCGGTCAGGCAAGCCTATCAAGAGGCGCTGCGTACCGAATTTCCGCTGTCTTGTCCTAATGACACTGAGCTTCATTGGAATAGGATCTCGGCCGCCATGCACGACGCAGGAGCATCTGCTTGTGGCACTATCCATAGTCACCGCACCAGTCACTGGATATCCGAGAGGTCGGTGAACCTGTTGGAATCTAGAAGAAACCTCCCGGCTGGCTCTGAACACAATGTGACCAGATTGGCTATTAGGCGTGAACTAAAGCAGAATCTACGTGCTGACAAGGAAGCCTGGTGGACCAGTCGGGCACAAGAAATGGAGGAGGCAGGAGCAGTAGGCAATTACCGGAAGCTCTTCCAGCTAATCCGCACCACTAGTCCCAGAAAACCAGGCGTCAGTGAGACAATCAGAGACAGGGCGGGTGCGCTGATACCCAATAAGGAGCGCTGTATGGCTCGTTGGGCGGAACACTTTCAAGATCAGTTCAGCTGGTCACCTGCTCCCGGACCTCTTCCTACTCAGGAGATGCAGGATGAGCTATGGACGGTTAGTTTAGAGCCTCCGTCGGAGGCTGAGGTCCGAAACGCGATCACAGCCCTCAATCGTTTTCGTGCCGCTGGCCCGGATTCCCTCCCACCTGCACTATTTAAGGATGGGGGTGAGGTCCTCTGCAAAGCACTGACCTCATTATTCGAACGTATTTGGAAGGAAGTGTCTCGGCTAATTGGAGCGAATCGATTATAGTGGCAACATACAAGAAGGGCAGTCGCACAGACTGTTCCAACCACAGGGGTATTAGCCTGACGCCAGCAGTGACAAAATTACTGGCCTCGATTATCGTTCGTCGCCTCACTGCGGAACGGGAATCTAGGATTAGGGAAGAGCAGGCCGATTTCCGCCCAGGACGTGGCTGTATAGACCATGTATTCACTTTGCGGCAGGTGCTAGAGCAGAGCCACGCATACCGCAGACCGACAAAACGTGTGTTCCTCGATTTCAAGAGTGCGTTCGATTCGTTCGATCAATCGATTCTGTTCAAAATACTTGCGCGGAAAAATGTTCCCACGAAATATGTGAAAATCCTTCGTGCTCTATACTCGAACACTACAGACCGCGTCACGGTTTACGGTGCCCTATCGGATAGCATTCCGAGCACAAGTGCTGTTCGTCAGGGTTGTCCGATTTCCCCATTTTTGTTCAATTTCGTCGTGGATTCTATCATGGAGTGTTCCATTGTGGAATCTCACGATGTAGCCGTTGAAGTGCTGCCTGGTGAAAGGTTAGTTGATCTAGGTTATGCGGACGATATCGTCTTGCTTTTCGACAATGTTGGGGCGGCACAATCAACCCTGAATAGCCTGTCCAGAGTGGTCCCATTATTTGGTATACGCTTTGCATCTTCAAAGTGCAAAGTGTTACTGCAGGACCACCAGCCACTTGATGACCCCTTGACCCTTACTAACGAGCAACTCGAGGTGGTTGATCATTTTGCTTATCTTGGCAGCTGCATCAGCAATGATGGGCGCATAGAAACTGACGTCAGCTCACGCATTGCAAAGGCCAGAGCTGCCCTCTTGAACCTGCGTCATCTTTGGCGACAGAAGTGAGTTTCCCTCCGCCTGAAAGGCCGTGTATACAAGGCCACAGTGAGGGCCGTTCTGCACTATGGTAGTGAGACTTGGCCCCTTCGGTCTGAAGATCTGAGGCGCCTTCAAGTCTTTGATCATCGTTGTCTGCGAAGCACTGCCGGAGTCGGATGGCACCAGCGTGTCTGCAACGATGATGTGCGCAGGCGAGTACTAGGTAGTGATAATCATGCTAGCTCCCTAGAACAACAGATACCATTGAATAAGTTGCGTTGGTTTCGGCATGTGGTACGTATGCCTGGTCACCACTTACCTAGGAGGGCCTTGTTCAGTCTACCAGGTGTAGGGTGGCGCAAGGCTTGAGGTGGACAGAAGTTGACTTGACAGCGGGAAATGAAGTCACTGACGACCAAACTGGGTGCCGTTGGTCCGTCTCGCCTACCGGGCTGGAGTCCACCTGACTCGCCTTGTGCTTGGCTCGAGACTTTACAGGATATGGCTCGCAACCGACACCAGTGGTGCGTCTGCTGCCGTCTTCTGATTGGATTGCCTGTTTAAAGTGTGTTTGATGCTGAGTTATCTGCGGGGTAATGGCTGATTATGACGCGGGGCAGTGAAAGCCGCAAGTAAGCTGTCTCGCCGATGCCGCCTTATCTTCGCACGGTAGCCAGATGTTTGTGACGGTATGTTGTCTACACAAGGTGTAGGCGCCTTGACCCTGAATGTTTGCTTAGGGCACTAAGGTTTTCAGGTAAGTGCCCCTTCTCTCCCTCTTCTTATTCTTTATTTCATAGGTCCTCATGGTTGTATGGCAGCGAAGCATCAGTTCAAATGGCTGATTTACTGCTGTTGATGATGATGATGGTAGAAATTGGTCACATGTAGACTTACTCATTTCTAACTATACCATTCAACTCCCGCTACTACTACGCTTCTATAATTCAACCTTGTTGTGAGGTTTTTTGGTCTATCTTGCGACAACGTCAACAGTCCACCAGTGCTTTATCCAACCGGACGTAAATAAGTGAAATACAGTGAAGCACTATGTGCGCCTAAAATAAGGTTTTCAAGTGGAAAGAGGAAGGACAACTGTGCCAACCAAAAGTAGAAATGTCGAAGATGGCACTAGAACGCGCAGCGAGCTAGTAATCGCAAACTGTAAGATATTGAGCTGTATAAGAAAAGTAGAACTTCGAAATCACATGTGAGTAACAAATGAAGATAGAAAGTGTAAAAGTAGTTTGACTAACTAGGTGAAGAGAACCGGAGTGGAACAAGCGGACAAGCGCGGAGTGAGGTGAGCGACAGAATGTGTCAAATCATAAAACGTAATACCAGGATTAGGGAGTTCATGCTAGGTCAAGTGACAAACGAAAATTCTATGGGAAGGTTGTGTAAGCAAGGGATGAGTTCATGATGTACAAACATTGCAAATGAAGGAAAAGGCAATGGGGTTGTCCATTTGAAAAACGTGCTCCACATAGACATTCGATGGGGAGCACAAAGAATACCGTGCCTGATTTCAGCACAAAATGGAGCATCACGACAATTGGATAGCTGAATGAAGCTCCATATACAACAATCGCATTGATAGACGAATAAACGGAATTAGGTGAAGGAATTGGGGTGGTTCAGGGGACGTTGTTCCACACTTGGGCCAGTGCCGCTTTACCATTCAGGCTGTACCAGTTGTTGCAAAATGGTGAGAGAAGAGGAAAGTAAATAACAATAACGGGCTCGAACAATGACTTACTTCTCCTGTAAAGCTTCTGCCCAGCAATCCATGTGGATGGAATACGAGAATACTATCACGAAGGCAAACTGCAACAGAAGAAAGCATGCAGGTGAATTCAGACGGTGTATGCATGTAGCAGACTCAGGTAAGAAGGCGAATTTGCAAAGCCTAACATGACCAGTGGCCTAATACGATAAATAGCTACTGGGTGCGGGATAAAAATGACTGTTTTCCGAGATGAGCAATAGTAAATGATAATCAGTCGAATAGCACACTAGAAAGATAAAAAACAGAGTGGAAAACAGATGGTTGACCAAAGCAGGTAAAAATCACGATCTCAGCTGAACATCCAGAGGATGGTCTGGTCGTCCACTTAGGGTTCGAACTAATAATAAGCTTCTAAGATAAAAGTATTATCTATTGATGTATGCAGCCTACATAAATTGGAAAAGGTGTAGCTTAGGAATCGGTATGGGCTTGCACTGCCAGCTAGTACAGAAGACAAGATGTGAGTAGATATACAAATCTAAGCGAGGTATTCAGCAGCACTGGAGAATACAGCATCGAGCACAGTGCAGACATTCACAATGCGGCACAATAGCTGAGGTGTTTTCCACCTCTAGCTAACGTGTATAATGATAGTGAGGATGATGAGACATTTACAAGCAGAGAAAGTAAAGAAATGTCGAAGAAACACACCGATGGACTCGGCCACTGTGCCCTCGAATTCAAAAGTGGTAGCCCGATGACGACTGGATTTGATGCGACCACTTAGACCGATAACCTTGGCGCAATCTGAAACGACGACAGAAAAGGCGATTGGAATGACCGGATTGCGATAAGGAAATAATAAGCAAGGTATGTGAAGAATCATTTGATAAGTTGGGCCTGGTCGTGAGAAACTGCACAAGGAGAAGAAGGCGCTGTTGCAAATACAAGGATGGTAAGTTCGACCCTCAGAAAAGATGAGGGTATGGGCACTGTTGGTGAGCTTTAACGGAACGAAATAGCGCTTTAAGTGTGAGGATGTCTAACTGGGGTATGGCTGCGAAAAAAGGCACCATTTTTGGAACCGTGAGATCCAATAATCTGCGCCATTCCGACGACTACAATTCTGGGTAGCAACACACGGATTCGAGCATGTGAGGTGGGAAAAAACGAAGCTCAGTGACGCAGCTCATGAAAGCAACTCGAAGAAGACGTGTTTCAAAATGTCATGCATCTTAGGGTCAAAACAGGCGATTCAGCGGACAAGCATGAGTGCGGGCAGCATGCGGTGTGATGGGAGTCGAGTCAAATAGAACGTACAAGAAACACACTCGGAACAAATGTCAACCGGCATTAAGCAGCGTGCGCAGATCTAACTTTGCATCACCTAGCACAATTAAGATTTTTGTCCGGTAGAAAAATACCCATAAGATTAAAAGCTTTCGAGGAAACAGAATGCGAAAGGAGGAACGAAATGACTTTAATTCCAAGTGAATTGATAAGAGCTGACTTAAGCTGATGGTGTGGTCGGGGAACACTAAAAGGCAGGGTAGGCATTTAAGACGGGAATCTTATATGAATGGAACAGAAAGCAAACAAGAAAAGATGATGAGTAAGTGAATAGATGGCATAAGTTGGCGTCTGTGATAGGTATTTATTTTGTCAACGGAACAACCATTTTGGCAGCGCAGATCAGAGACCCAAGAGAGGGAGGAGTACGGTGATTCAGTTACGCTTCAGAAAATAGTGTTCGCGCCATATATAATAAACTTGGGACAACATCGATTCTGATTTAGGAGTCATGAGCATGCTTCAACAACGAAAATGAAAGAAAGAAGCCAGTCACGAGAGAACTCAAGAGAACATTTGTAGTCGAGATGAAAGCATTGTCAGGTGGTGTGACGGCAAAGTAGTACCAAGACAACAAATGGTAGTGGACTTGCAGTACCGATAGAAAAAATAGATACGGGGGTAAAGTGATGTAAACTCGAAAGACCCACTGTATCCGTTTAAAGTAACCAGTAAAGTACGTGAATAAAAAGAGGCAATATTTAATGCAATTCAGAACACTTTTGCCTGTTGGTAGACTAGTATGCATAAATGATCGTAGAGGGGGCGTGTAATGGAGTGGTAAACTCTGATGACTTGGTTCGGTGAACTGTATGTAGATAGGCGAAGCAAGGTGGCCGTCAAAAAACAAACCGGGCAATAGCATAAAATTTGTGCCGTAGTGTAAAGTGGGCTACTAAAAAGAGCGAAAACATATGAGTGCCTCGAGTATGGAAAAATAGACCACATCAAGGATTGGGGAAACACATGCCTGATTATTGCTGGCAAGCCCATATGTGACCAAATGACAAGTTTCAGCATCAACACGAATGAAAGCCACCACAGTAGTGCGTAGCAACAAAAGGTCATACTTTGACGCTTCATATGGAGGCAAAAAGAAATTAGTGGAAGACGAAAAGGTCAGTAAAACGCTGGTTTAACACCTTGGTTAAATGGCTGCCGTAACCATCTATTTTTTATTACCAAAAGACAGCAGCCTACGGTATGCGGAATAAGACAGCATGACCAGGAGTAGGTTGGCATAGAGAAATAGCATCACTGGCACCGCATCATGTCCTGAAAGAAAGTGTAAACATCAGGCTTAGTAGTCAGAAAAGATAGCCAGGTGTGTGAGGGAAATATTGCGAACGGTTGAACTCCAGTCAAATGTAGTTAACGTGAACAAGCTAGACAACGGATTATGAATGTGAGAAGAACCGAGTGAATGAATTCATATTCTACAACTGTGAAAACGAGAAGAGTTGTGCAAGAAAGGACTACACACAGCATCATGAGGATAATGGTTAAAAGCGGCAAGAACAGAACTAAGCTGAGGATGGCTTGGATTACCATGAGCAGTCGTTTGTGTGCAACCACTTTGAAGACATCATCAAAGGTTGATTTACGAAGTAGTACTAAACGCTGTCTGTTTGTGGTATTCGCTTAGGCACCCACCGAATTGGTCTTGAAATCGCCACGATGGCTGCGCCTTTAAATCAGCCGTTGCCTTTTCATTGGAACATCTCACTTCATCCATGGATTTAGCAGTTTTCACAAAATAATTTTAACGATTTCTTCGGTTAAGCCAGGTACAAGATCAATGACGCTGACCGCCGATTTTTTTGGAAATGGATACTGCGCGTACTACGCGGAAATGTCAGAAGGCATTTTGTATCTTGAGGAATCTTCGTCCGGATCCACACTGGGCTTCGAAGCTGCGCCGTCAAGAGGATGCAGAACCGGGACAATTTATCGAGTGATATTTGCGCTCCCAGCAATTATTACAGTTCTAAAATTTTGTATCTTTAATGACGATGTTTTAGAACATCTGAAGCATCTATACTAAACTGCGCTTACTCGGGTAGTTAAAGCTTACATTGACTTGATACCTACCACGAACTGAACACGCTGGTAAGCGGCGCTACTAGTTCAAATATGGATCTTGTTGCAGCGGATATGAATGCACAGATGGGTCTTCTGAACTTTCCATAGGCTCTACTGAGTGGCAGTTATGTGCTTAAATCAGAACAAACGGACAACGGCGGAGCGGAGCGCTGATACGTCGAAGCAGCTTCGCTCACAGGCATCTGGAGGCCTTATCACCTGGCCATCCATGGACACAAACTGACCACATCGCCATCAGTTAGTGTTGGCGGACTGCATACAGGAGTGTAAATCAAGCTGGAGTACTTACCACACTTCGAATCATAAGCTCCTGCGTGCCAACATCGTTCGACTTTTTGGTGACTACCAACAGCATCGCCAGAAGCCACTTGACGTGGCTAAGCTTTCTGCCTCAAGCGTTTTCAGCGCCTATTCTGATACGTCGGCTTCAAATCTCGAGAGTGCTTCATGCTAAGACGCTGAAACACACTGGGCACACGTGCGCAGCGTCATGCAGGACGTCGCGACCCAAGATTGTGGTTTTGCCAGTAGCTCTGTAAACCTCTGGATCACTGCACGGTCTCACCAGTTTCTCGAAGCCAGTTGTACAATTCCCGTAGGTAGTAAGTACCATTCACTGCACAGGACTGCCAACGCTGAATTCAAACAGCTCCTCCGAGAGGACAGAGAGTCCTGGTGGACGCAGCAAGTCATTGAGATGGAGCAAGCGGTTACCAAGGGAAATTGCTGAAAGCTTTTCTTTCTGATCCGATCTACTGGCGGCAAAAAGCCGTGAGAGAGGTTTCGTGCAAAATCAATGGTGAGCCAATAACTGCCAATAACGTGAACTTGTGCGTTGGGCTGAGCATTACGAACAACAGTTTAGCAGCACCGGCGAGTACACACTCAGGAGTCCACAATGCTGCCTGGTGTGTAGACATTTCGCCACCATCTGAGGCTGAGGTCGCTCAAGAGCTTCGCCTTCTGAAACGTTATATAGCCCCTGGCCCAGACGAACTTACTGTGTAAATGTATCCATCCGTCGGGAATAAATGTCTCTTGTTCAAGAGGCTTAGATTACCGAAGCAATCCTATCTGACTGAAGTTAAGTGGATATCGTTCCGGTCTTAAAAGACAGTGCCCGGACAGACTGCGCCAACCACAGAAGAATTATTCTCATCTGCGTGGAATCCAAAGGGTTCGCTACTCTGCTTTTAAGGAGGCTCAGCCTGGTACGCAAACAAAACATACGAGAAGAACAAGTTGGGTTTCGCTCTAGCTGGAGTTGTATCGGTCCCATCTATACACTTCACCAAATACTCGGGCGTCGTCAAACGTTTGGCCGGCCAACGATCGTTGTCCATTTAGACAAGAGCCGCGATTGATGCAGCTGACCAAGATGCACTCTGAAGTTGTCTGTTTAGAAAGGGGGTGTCCGAGAAGTACGTCAACAGTTTTCGGGCCCTTGTGAATATACGTCGCAGCAAGAGAACTCTGAGACTCATCTCTGTCTTTTGCACGTTCATGCCATTCATGACAGCGAAGGATAAGCCACGCTATATCGCAGTTAGACATGCGTCATAGCGGTCCGCTGCCACCACCCATGGCTCAGTGGCATAAGCCGCCGATCTTAACAGAAAGGTCACGGGTTCGAATGCGAGGGGATCCGGCGCTACTGACGAGTCCCAATAGAATGAAACGGCCATCTAGCGCTTTCCTTGATATGAAGTGGCTGTCTAGCTGCGACGAATCATCACAAAAGAACACAATAAATTTGCTATTAGTCTCTAATTCTTCGAGCCATCTATTCGCGAACCTAGGAGCGAGTGCGGGTGTACGGCGGACTTTCGCCCCCTTTAGTATCACTAGTGGCGTGATACAGAGCTGTCCAGCGTCACTACTCATGTTTAATTTCGCTATGGACGACATCCTGGAGAGCGATCTGGAGAACTGTGAACCCAGCGGCGTTGAGTTGCTTCCGGAGGACCGACTTCATGATTTGGAGTATGCAGAAATCTCCGTAATTTGCGACTCCAGTAGGTCGCCAAATGAGCTGTGTATGCTGTGAGTTGAAATGATATTCATCTCATCGAAGTGGAAAGCCTTCTAACAGGACTGGCTCAGAGGTGCTCCTACCCTTACCCTTTCAGGTAATTCCCTGAAAGTTTTAGACAATATTTACTTACCTTGGAATACACGTTGTTGCTAAGGGTTTGAGGAACGAGGCCTGTTTATACTTATCCAAGGCTCGGATTGCTTTTGATAATCTCCGCGATCTCAGTCTCTTCTTGAAGAAGCGAATGTATAATGCGGCAGTAAATAAATTCTGCTTTGCGGTCGCGAGACGGTCTGTTTGAGCAAAGGACGTTCATAAG